ATTCTAACCTATGTCCATCTTGGGTCGGAGCTTCATTGCATGTGCCTCAGAGAGCAGAGCTATCGGGAGAGCGGAGCATGGCGTCTCAGAGAGCAGAGCTGTTGGGTCTGTCAGGGAGCAGAGCAGAGTCTGACCTCACTTCCTCTTCCGCCCAGCATCCTATTCTGTTTACTCCTCCCACCTATGCTTTAACCTATCAGGGCCAGCCAAGCAGTTTCTTTATTGTTCAATGACCTTCCTCCATCACCCTTCCCTCTAGCATTTAACCACAAAAGTGATCAAGGGTTCAGTATTAATTAATGCCTTTTTTGAAGTTTAGAGACAGGGTTTCCTGTAGCCCAGGTTGACCTTGAACTTACTATGTAGCCAAGGCTGATTTTGAACTCCTGATCGCTCTGGCTCCATCTTCTAAGTGCTGAGCTACAGGCATGCCATGCCCTGCTTTTTTTGTTTAGTTGTTTTGTATTTTTGAGACAAGGTCTCTTGAGTCCTGACTAGACTGGAACTCACTTGTGCCATCAGTTGGGCCTCAGACTCACAGCAAATCCTCCTGTCTCCCTCATGGGGGCTGAGATCACAGGTGTGAGCCACTAGACTTGACTTGAGAATATTAATTCAGTTTTATTTTTTTTTAGTATTTGTTGTATTTTTTAGTTAAGGTCTCACTATGTGGCCATGGCTGGCCTGGAACATTTATGTAGATCTGCTTGTGCTGCCTCCCAGTACTGATCACAGGCGAGTGCCAGCACACATTGCCCCGCTTTGTTTTTACATTTATTCACATGCACACACAGGCTATGGTGCACATATGGAGGTCAGAGTCGAGTCTTTCTACTAAGTGGGTTCTAGGGATCATACTGAGGTTGTCAGGCTTGGAACAAGCACCTTTACCTGCTGAGTTGAGTCATCTACCTGCCCCTAGAATTACATTTTTGTTTTTTTGGCTTTTGTTTTTGTCATCCGTCCCTTGCCATCCCTCCTCCCCCTAGCGTTTCTCTGAGTAGCCCTGGAACTATAGACTAGGCTGATCTTGAACTCAGAGATCCGCTTGCCTTTGCCCTTCCCCCCACCCCCGCCCCAGTGCTGGGATTAATTAAAGGTGTGTGCCACCACTGCCCAGCTAGAATTACCATTTTAAAAAAACCCTAATTTTCATTGCTGGGCATAGTGATGTACCCTGTGGTAGCCTGACCCTGATTCAAAACTAAGGGCTGGGAGTGTAGACCAGTTATGGAATGCTTGCCTAGTATGTTCCAGGTGTTGGGTTCTTCACAGACATACTTCACTCGTTATCTGTCTTTTGCAACCCAGGCAACCACAGTTGTGTCCCCAATGCAGAGACTTCCTTCCCAGAAAACAACTTCCTTTTGCATGTTACCGCTTTGGAGGACATTAAACCAGGCGAGGTGAGAGGGCTGGGCAGCATGGGTGGGCATAGGGCCTTGCAGTTTCTCTCCAGGGAGCAGCAGGATCTAGCTGGAGTCCCTTTGTTGGGCTGGTGGTGAGTTACCACAGGCCCGAGGGCTGGAGTCATTTTGCCATGAGTACTCTTTGATCCTTTCAAGTTCTTCAGAAAGTCTCAGAGTGAAGTAGAGCTGTGTGCCCAGGTCCCTGACCCCAGCTACCCTTTTGATTTCTTTGTAGCTTGAGCCACAGGGGTTGGTGTGAATTGAGAGTCCTGGTTGGTGGTCACAGCCTGACAAAATTTTCTCCTATACAAGTTATCATACCAAGATTAACCTGATCCCATCTACAGAGCTTGCCTACTGACTGGTCTTCCTCAGGGTCTGAGGCCAACCTCCATCCTTGTCTATCTCAGACCCAGGTGGAAGTCTTGCCTGCTGGAGGCAGGAGAATGGATTAGTTTTGAAGAGTATTGAAGGCCTAACTTCTAGGCAAGGGACAGTGGTTGACAATAGATATGGCAGCTGTTGGGGAAGTTTTCTTTGTTGTTGTTTGTTTTGAGACAGAGTTTCTGTGTAGCCTTGACTGCCCTGGGACTCGTTCTGTAGACCAGGCTGACCTCTAACTCAGAGATCCACCTCCATCTGCCTCCTGAGTGCTGGGGTTAAAGGTGTGTGCTGCCACCACCTGGCTGGGGAAGCTCTTTTTTAATCTGATGGAGGGCATAGGCAATCATACCCTTCTCTACCCCACAGGAAATCTGTATCAGCTACTTAGATTGCTGTCAGCGGGAGCGCAGCCGCCACAGCCGCCACAAGATCCTCAGGTGCCAGCTGGGGACATGGTTGGGCTCTGGGCTTTTCCATCCCAACAACTGACTTACTTATCACCCCTTTCCTTTGAAGGGAGAACTACTTGTTCATCTGTTCCTGTCCCAAATGCCTGGCAGAGGCCGATGACCCTAATGTGACCTCAGAAGAAGAGGAGGAAGAAGATGAGGAAGGAGAGCCTGAAGATGCAGAGCTAGGGGATGAGATGACTGACGTGTGATGTTGCCCTGCCTGGAAGGGGCCTGCCCTCCACAAATGTGGTCGGAAGGAACAGCCCCTCTCGCTTGCACCCGTTGCCTGCTTTCTCCCTTCTGGCATTCTGTCAGGAAAGGAGAGAGGCTGGACCTGAGCCCCACCCCTCACCAGACCTCATGCCCTGAGCACTGCTGCTGAGCTGCATTGGCCCTGTGCCATCACCAAGCCTTCCAGAACTGGTCTTCCCCCGCCATGGTCCACCGTAGCCATGAGACTAGAACAGGCTCCAGGCCTCATAGTTTTCTTCCTCTGGGCTCCTTGGCCCATACCCATCCGCCTGAGGCTTGGCCCCTCTTGACTGGCTGTTAACTTGAGGGGAGCAACAAAGTGGCCAGTCTGAAAGCAGACTGGTTTCCTTGAGAGGTGATATGATGCCTTACCTCTTCCTTACTGCTCACCTACACAGCTGCAGCTGAAGCAATGGCCTGCCACTTCGCAGCAAGAAGCAGAAACAAAGGTCTAGGCCTTCAGAACACTTCAAAAGACTCTGTGCCTGGGATGCTGGGCTGTTCCCATTGGAAACTGGGGAGGTGGAGATTAACCTATTCTCCAGACTCCAGATTGTTGCGCCTGTGCCTTGGCTCTTAAGCTCAGGCAAGGTGGCTAGCCCTAAAACGTATGGAAGAGGCTTATCTTCATCAGGACTCTAGCAGAATGCCGGATGACAGATTGTGCTCCTTAATTTAGGATGCTCCACTCTTCCCGCGACCAGCTGAAATGGTCCAGCAAATGGTCTCATCCACTTTTAAGATATCCATAGAGGAACACCGAAGTCTTCCAGAAACCTGAAGGAGCTGGGCAGACGCTTGGAGATGAGCCATGACTTTGTTCCCTCCTTGCCACAGATGACCATCTCATTCTTGGGGTGGGCATCATGGAATGACAGCTACCACCCCCCATTCTTTCCCCGAAAGGTCTGCACATAGCCCTGCTAGGGGCTCCCAGGGAGGACCAGTGCCTATGCTACAGGCTTTTTCTAAGGTGGAGCCAGGTGAAATGTGCCTGACTGGCCCCCTTACCTGTTGGGCACCCTCTCCCTCTGGTCTCAATAAAATGTGAGTGGTGATAGGCCTCTGGCGGTGCTTTGTGGAGAGTGGGCTGTGTGCACAGGGCACAAGTTAACACCAGGGGGTGGCAGCAGAATGCTCCAGGCTTCTCAGTAGTGCTCATACTGCCAGCCACAAGGATGTGTTAACATCCCTAAAGCCAACAAGATCTCTGAGGCTGGATTTCAATTGCTGACTCTAGGTAAAGGAGTCTTCTTCCCAGCGGGATGAACCACAATTAGCAGTCTGTTAATCCTAATGGGCTTGAGAAGCCATGGCCTTCTGTGAGGCTTCGCTAAGAGCAGCAGTAAGTATGATGTGGGACCAAATACATGAGTCCCTCCACACCCACGCATTCTTAGTTTAGGACACAGGTACAAACCTGACGAGCTTTATTTACCTTTATTGCTAAAGAGTAGAGAATCCTTCGGCCCAGAATAACTATTTCTTAAACCACTTCAGCAAGAGCTACAAGAGTCACTGTGAGGAAGTCCGGGCTGTGGGAGGCTGAAAAACTGGTGTGTGACAGGTGGCCGAGGAAAGGCCGCCTGCCTTCAGCACCTTTTGTTCCAAATTCTGCCCAGACGCCTTGGGCCTGGTTCTTGGCTCTTACTGGAGCATGAGATGTTCTTGCAGGCCCTAAGGAAGGGAAAGCCACTAGTGTGGCTTCCCTGTCCCATCCCTGGCTCTACTTGTCCTCAGAGTCTATCTCCAAACTCCAAATGGCAGAATCTTAGGTTTTTTTCTTCCCAGTGAGTCACCTGTGGCTGGTACCTGGGGTAAGCTTTTCTACCAGAAAGTCCAGGGAGGTTGCAGCAGCTCAAAAGTGGGGATACTCGTGACATTGACTGGGATAGAGATGATGGCCCATGGCAGCCCATGCTGTTCCAGAGAGCGGCGGATCATGTAGCTGGGAGGGCATGAAGAGCTGTCACTTTCTCAGCACCCCAACACTGCCCTCTGCCTGTGACTCTGGGAGTTTCCAGAACCTGAGAACTTTTTTGCCCTTAGACTGGGATATTCAAGACAGGGCCTGTGAAAGGGGACTGGTGATTGCCTTTGACCCCACCAAATCACACCACCCAATTTAGTGTGGACAGCCCAAAGCAAAGAGCCCTCACCCATCTCGGCCGAGCAGGAAGAGGGCAGGAATGTCAGCTGTGCGTTGAGTACTATCCTGGATCATCTCCACGTAGAAACTGTCATTGTCAACTGCATTGTCCGAGATGATCACAGCCCGCCCACCATGCTCTTGAACCACCCTGGTCTTGGAGAGGAAGGAGCAGCCCCTGGAAGAGGTTGGTGATGAGACCAAAGGAAAGGCTAGCTGCCCCTCCCTTACATCCTCTCTTTGGGAGGATGAAGGACCACAGAGAACTTGTATTGAGGGTCATCAGTACACAGCAGAAAGTAGACAAGACATGTAAAGGATGAATTATTTAAAAATCGACATTTCAAAGTACCATGAGCTATGATCAGAATCTGCCCTCCCTGTGTGTCATACCTGCCCACTCCTTACCCCCTTTCCACCAGAGCAATCTGGTCCTGGATGAAGAAGCCGTTGCTGAGTTCCCCACAGGCCTCTGGAGGTTCGGCAGGGACAAGGTGAATCTGCTCATAGCGTGTGTGCTGAAAAATGTTCAGACATCAGGACAGGGAAGAGTGAGAAAACATGGCTTTGGAACGAGCTAAGAATCCATGGCCCTGGCGCCTCACACTATGTGGAGGAAGGAAATGAAATGAGTGCTCTCCTCGTGCCTGGGCACTGGAGCACTTTCATTCTCACCAAGAGCTATCTGACTAGGCACCCCCCCTTTCTGTGAGAGGGCGCTGGTTATAACCCGGGGTGGGGGAAGCAGGTGGACTTGACAGAGAAAGCCGGTGCCCTTGGTTTCTTGGGTAGTTTCTACCAATGAAGGGAGTCTCCCTGGTTTAGTGTGCAGCAGCTCCTGGAGGGCATGGCTGGATTATGCTTCCTGCTCTGTCCCAGCATAAAGGTGGGATGAGGGTCACCATGGCTCACTGATGGCAGCAAGGCTGCTGAGGGTCAGAAACCTGAGCTTTCAACTTACAAATATACCACCAAAGTCCTTGGCAGGCGTGGCTGTGAAGATATAGCGAATGTCCCCAGGACTCAGCACTTGGAAATATAAGTAGTCATGGACGCGTAAGCCTAAAGGGAAAAGTGCAAATGCAAAGCCTTTTAGGAACAAGCTGGTTGGGTTTCCTATGTCTTCCACTGGGTGGGCTGTGGCCTGCATCCAGAGACCCTGGCATCAACTGACTGGATCCTCCGGGAGCATGAGATCTTATTAAGCAGGGTCTCACTATGTAGCCCTGGCTCGCTCTAACTCAGAGATCACTTCTGCTTCCCACCCCTACTAGTGCTGAATTAAAGGTATGTACTACCACCTGGAAATCTTAAAAAATGGCTGCACACAGCCCAGGCTGCCTTTGAATTAGCTGTTTCCTTGGTGGGCCTTGAATCCTTCCTCCTGATCGCCTCCCAAACATGACTACAGGCATGCACTGCCACGCCCAGCTTGAGAACTGATTTCTACACTGGACAGACAGACTGGATATAAGAGATTTGTATTTGCTGCTGCTCCTAACACAGCAGGTGAGCCACAAAGACCCAGAGCTCTAGGGTTAGCAGCCATCCCTGCTCTGAAGACCTAAGAGTTTCTGAATAGAGAAGCCCCCGGTTTCTAACCAGATCTTTAAGTTAGTTCTGGTCTCATTGGCATCTCCTAGCCCAGTTACTGTCATCTCTTCTGACTGTTCGAGCTTAACTGGTCTTGCTCCCCTGTCTCTTTTTTCATAAGGGGTCTTGCTGTGTTGCCCAGATTGGTTTTCAACATCTGGGCTCAAGCAATCCTGACTCAGGTTCCCATCTGCCTTCATTCTATAATTTACATTTTATTTTATGTATATGTGTGTGCTTTGGCTGCATGTATGTCCATGTGCCATCTGTGTGCCTGGTGCCTGCGGAATCCAGGAAGAGGGTATCAGCTCCCCAGAACTGGAAGGAGAAGCAGCTGTGAGTGGGCCCTCTGGAAGAACAACTAGTACTCCAAATACTGAGCCATCTCTCGGTCCCCTATCTCCACTGTCCTCCTTAAGGTCCTCCTGCCACCCACTCACTGCCAGAGCCTCAGTGTCCCCTTCACTGACTAAAATATGTGCCATTGCTCACGGTGGTGTAGAAGGCACTGCTCGATTGACTCCTGCTCCAGATCTGCCATTTTCCCAAGTTCAAGCTGCACTGGCTTCTCTGTGTTTTCATCTTCTTGTGTCTTCCTAAAAGTTCCCTTGTCATCTCTCAGAAAGATGGTACCCTGTTCCTTCCTATAGTCATTCAAAACATACTTTCCTCCAGCTAGTACTTCCTCAGTAAATTACGGTGCATTTATAATAGTCTATGTCTGTTTCTTAGAGCAATGATTCTGAGTTTGTGGCTTTACTTGGTGATGAATCCCTAGTGCCTAGGACCCAGTGGCTGCTCAGCAAAGGTTACTGAATGAATGGACAGCTGCCTGGCTATGCTGTCCTGAACAAGAGAGCTGCCAGAACAACCAGGGTTTTGCTAGGATATAGAAACTTTTCTCAGCATCGAAGTTTAATATTTTCCTGGGATTTGAGTCCCTGGATTCCGTAAGCCCAGAGAGATGAGGGAATGCTGATGGATGGAAGCTTTTGCCTCAGGTATGTTATTCAATTCAACAACCAAGCTATCACTGTGTAGGTTGTGGTTATAGCTGTTCCTGTCTACGGCCCAGATCACAACCACCTAGGCAGAGCTCAGGGGGCTTGCAGCTTGTTGTCCTGTGTGTAGGTACACTCCATCAGATGGATACACCCCTAAGGAAGCCTTCTGGATTGACACGCGGCACCCTTTTCCCAAGCACACTCCTGTCTGGCGTTCGATGTGCTTATCTCTTCGGGTATATGCATGTGTTCACTTAGCGCGTAGGTGTGTACATTTATGTGCGAGTTGTGTAAGTGGGTGCCTGTGCGTGTGAGCCCACGTGTATGTTCCTGCCTGTATGAACGTTCACGTTGCTCCATTCTTGATCTCTAGCTGTCACCCGGGTCGCCCTCGGGAGGAAGAGGGCAGGAGGATCTTGCTTCGACGTGGGGAGCCTCGGGCCGCGCCTACTCCGGACTCCGGGACCAGCACCCACCCACTGTAGTCGTCTGGCCCCAAAACCTAACCAGCCCAAACTCCCGGGGTCCCCAAGGTGACCCGTGGCCCCCGGCCCGAGCAGCGCACACGCTGGATGCCCGCCCCGCCCGCCCTCCGCCACCGCTCACCGTGGGCCGCGACGCACGCGGGCAGCCAGAGCACGAGACAGCACCAGCCCGCGGCACCTCGGCTCATCTCCAGGGCCCGTCCCGCCGCCGCCGCCGTCCCGCCGCGCCCGCCAGCCGGACTTTAGCCTGACAGCCGCCCCGGCCTCCCCCAGGCCCGCTCTCCGCGCGGGTTGGAGCGCCGAACCGAGGCCGGCGGCCGATTGGCTGCTAAGCCTGAACGTGTGGCCGCACTTTCCGCCTCTGCGCCCTAGGCTACTTCCTATTGGCCAGGAGAAGTGGAGCCGGCAGCGGATTGGCCTAAACTCTTAATAGCAACTGCAGTTCGCAGCCCCGCCCCCGCCCCTCAGTATAGACCCGACTCCCAAGCCGAGGGTGGGCGGCTCGCGGAAAGGTGCGGGGTCCCGGCTGCCCTCCCTGCCGGAGGCTGGCTGCGCGCCGGTGCCGCGGGGCGGTGCCTCGGCCGGCGGGAGGCGCTGCAGAGCCAGAAGTAGGTCTGGCGAGTTTCCCGCGCTCGCGGGCTGCGCACCGGTGACCCAGGGCGCCTCAACTTCCCCGGCTCCCCGTGAAATGCACAGAGCTCCGACGCCACGGAGCTCTGGGGGTGCAGTGAGAACACTCACCTAAGGTGCTTCCCCCAACCGCCGTTCAGTCTCACCGCCTGTCTTCCATGGTATCCGGGGACGCGGGCCGAAACGGGACCCGGCTGCGTCCTCCCAGAGCCAAAGCACATCGAAACTCGGTGACCCCGCCATAGCCAACACCAGTTCCTAGAGCGGCCGCGGGCGCCTCCGACTCCTCTAGCCAGCCACCTCGGCTGTCGCCAACCATAGAGTGGCGGAAGTGGTCCGTACCCTTCCTCTCCCGGGCCTACGTCTAGCCAGAAGCTTCTGGGGACGTCGGCGCGGAGCATTGTGGGCTTGGGCGGGCGGTTCCGAGGCCGAGAAGAGGCGAGTTGCCGGCTCCTGAAGCGCTTCCAAGATGATGGTGAGTGGCTCCCCGCTCATCCGCTGCCATCCGCGGCCGTGGGGCCCAGGCCCGCCCTCCGGGGAGTCGGCAGCGCCTGTTCCGGACCCTCTGCCCGTGGAACGCCGCGGCCCGGAGCTGGAGCGGTTGGCGAGAGCCGATGGGGCTCGCGACTCTACTGGGCCCGGGGGTCTACGGGTCCCACGGTGATTCAAGGCCGTGAGCCCCTGAAAACTTGGGTTTTCGGAACCGAGTGCGGGTTCAGACTGCATCGCCGCCCTGGGAGTTGAAGGCAGATGTAAAGGCGTGAGCTAGAGCGCCCAGAGGCGGCGTGAGGATCTCTGGGTTTGGCCGAGTGACGCCCAGCATGGCACTGTGGCCACTTGCGTTCCCGCATGCGGGAAAACAGAATCCTTCCTTCCTGCTGGAACCCGTTCGTTCGCGCAGTCCTTCAGCAGGTGCACTCTTAATGTCTCCTGAATGTACAGGCCCAGCTTCGTGCTGGGAAGGGGCAGCAGTTGAGGTGCACAGCATCAGAGATGGGAAGACGTGAGTGCCTCAGGCAGGAGAGTCTCTTAAAGGTCTGTCTGTAGCTGTCCATCACGATCTGTTCTCTTACAGAGCGGCAGATAACTTCCTTGTGTGTGAGACACCTAATGGTTGATGAACAACGCCAATTTTAGAATCCTGTGTAATTGGCATCAGTTCCACGCGTTAATTTTTGGTTTTCGGTGTCAGTCCTTCTGCCTTTTGCAGCTTCTTCCAGTCCCCAGAGTCTGATAACCTGGATAGTCTTTCTCCCTGCTACCAAATGCCTTTTGGTTGCAGCTCCTACTCAGTAGAAGGACCTCATGTTCTCTGAATCCCCAACCCCCAGCACTGTCCTTTTCAGAGTTTTTTCAGCATTACTATTTTTTTTTTTTTTTTTTTTTTTTTTTTTTTTTTTTTTTTTTTTTTTTTTTTTTTTTTTTTTTTTGGTTTTTTGAGACAGGGTTTCTCTGTGATTTTGGAGCCTGTCCTGGAACTAGCTCTTGTAGACCAGGCTGGTCTCGAACTCACAGAGATCCGCCTGCAGCATTACTATTTCTTGAACTTGATTTGGTTGGCAAGGACCAGAGCTGAGGAGTAAAACTCTTAATGTTCCTCAGTAAAGCACACGTCAGGGCTGCAAATGCGACCTCACGTACATCATTTGCATAGTGTGTCCAGGGCCCTGAGATCCATGCTCATCCAGTCCCCAGAGAAATAAACCTTTTGTCTAAAGGCCTCAGACCACTACTTTTGGGTTTTACCTGAATTGATTGTTTTTGCCCTATGCAGTAGACTTGTTTGCCTGCTGGGTATCTCCCTTAAAATGAGAGTTCACCATGCTGTCAACCGACTGATCTCAAGTAGTCTAGAAGACTTCTGTTTCAAGGAGAGTTAAAAGGGTCCCCTGAAATCCTGATCTTTGATACATCTATTGTCTTTTTGGCATTAAATTGTACGTTTTCATATAGCACTGGTCTTGTTTTATAGAACATCAAGTCTAATGGTAATGGCTTTGTTTTTATTTTTTCGGGTACTGGGGATTGAACCCAAGGCCTCATTTGGTTGTTCTACCGCTTAGCTATAGCCCAAGGCTTTTCCCCCCAAATTTTACATATTTATGTATTTTTTTAGGTATGAGTGCTCTGTCCACATATACCTGCAAGTCAAAAGAGGGCATCGAATCCCATTGTAGATGGTTGTGAGCCACCATGTGGTTGCTGGGAATTGAACTCAGGACCTCTGGAAGAATAGCCAGTGCTCTTAACCAATGAGCCATTTCTTAAGCCCTCAAGACTTATTTAAACTTGTTTTTAACAGCGGGCTCTTTTCTAGCTCCAGGTGGTCTGGAAGGCACTGTGTAGCCCACTGTGGTGATTAGTTTTGTAAGCTTGACACAACCTAGAAACACCTGGGAAGAAAGTCTGTGAGGGATTGTCTAGACGAGGTTGGTCTGTGGGGAATTAATAGTCCGGGTTGCTTTCATTGATAGGGAAACACCCAGCCCACTGTGAGTGGCGCCATTCCCTGAGCTTGGGTCCTGAACTCTATAAAAGAAGACAGCTAGTTGAGCACCAGCAATTGAACAGCATGCTATACATTCAGTTTTCTCTGTTCTTGACCAGCTGCTTCAGGTTTCACGATCTCACCCCCATCAAGTAGCAGACTATAACCTGGATTTGTAAACTAAAATAATCCCACTCCCCTTTTTTTGGAAGCATTTTTTGGGGGTGTATCTCTGACTGTCCTTCAGCTCTTCCTCTTTATACCCAGTCTTAATGGATTGCTGCGTATTGGTTGTGTGTGTGTTCAAGACAGGGTTTTTCTGTGTAGCTTTGGAGCCTATCCTGGAACTTATTCTGTTTACCAGGCTGGCCTCAAACTCACAGAAATCCATCTGCCTCAGCCTCCTGAGGAGTGCTGGGATTAAAGGTGCGCATCGCCCGTCTGATGCATATTCTTTAAGTATTTCAGGTCTTTTGGTGGGTTGTGTTTGATTTTTAGATTTGTGTGTTTGTGGGGGGGGTATTCCATTCATTTGGACATGTGTATACATCCTTGAAGGTACCTCTAGAGGCCAGAAAAGGGCATTGGATTTGTTCTTGGTGCTGGAGTTAGAGATGGTTGTGGTATTATTGGTAATCAAACTCTTGTCTTCAAGGAGAATAGAGAGGCTTCTTAACTGCTGAGCCATCTCTCCAGTCTCAAATCTATTTTTACGTTCCACTCTTTTGTTTGTTTGTTTGTTTGTTTTGGTTTTTCGAGACAGGGTTTCTTGTAGCTTTGGAACCTATCTTGGGACTCATTCTGTAGACCCAGGCTGCTTCAGATTCACAGAGATACTCCTGCTGCAGTCTCCTGAGTGCCACCATGGCCTGGCTACATCTCACTCTTGATAGCTTTTCTTAGACCAATACAACTTCATTTGCTATTTCTTCCATTTGAAAGTATTTGCCTACAACTGGTTGTTTTACTTTGAACCAGGCACTTTAATTCCAGCACTCAGGAGGCAGAGGTAGACGGACCTCTGAGTTTGAGGCCAGTCTGGTCTACAGAGTGAAATCCAGGACAGTCAGGGCTACACAGTGAAACCCTGACTTGGGGGTGAGGTGGGGAGAAGAAAAAAATTGGTTTTCATTGGCTGTCTTATAGCTTCTGTGACTGGTGAATACAGTTTTGAGACCAGCACCCTGATACCAGTCTTCATTCGCTAAAGACAGTGACTCTAACCATTAGGATATAGTATGTGGTACTTAGTGCATGCATCTCCATCTCTGTCTCATTGGACTGCTAATGTCTTGCTTGAACAATTTTCTTTTTAAATTTATTTCAGTTGTCTAGAAGTTTTGCCTACATGCAAGTGTGTGTATCCCATGTGTGCCTGGTGCCTATGAAGTCTAGAGGGGTTGCAGGTAGTCGTGAGTCATTACCACATGTAATGTGGATGCTGGAAATCAAACCCAGTCTTCTAGTAGAGCACCCAGTGCTTTTAATTGCTGAGCCATCTCCCCAGTTCCAAGCAGTTTCTTTTTGTCGACAGCTATGCTTGAGGGATTCCATGTTCCTGTCAGTCATATCGGGCCGAAACCATACTTTATTTAAACTTGTCTGAGATCTGATAAATGTACAGCATTTACCAGCCTACTCATTTGCAGGCTTTTTGGTTTTGTACATGTGCACTATAGTGTTTTCAAGCTTTAGTGTTCATGTAAATCCACTTGGGCCCTTTCTGAAGGTCAGATCCCGTTTCAGTGGGTCTTGGATGTAGCTATACACATTTCTGACCAACTCTCGGGTGGTGTTTATGCATGCCATTGCCCTGTAGCATATGTATCTGTCTTGCCACCAGTAACCGCCCTCTGCTGACCACAGGATTTTGACAAATAAGCAGTGTGCTTCAAAAAATGTTATGAAAAAAACCTAACAAGAAATTTAATAGTAGTCTGTTTCTTCAAATTAAATTAATCATTTAAAAATATGGTCTAGTTCTGTAAGCCTAGCCTTTAAGAAAGAAAAAGGAAAACTGGGAGCAGAGACTTTCACCAAGGTCATTTCCAGATCTAACACCCAATGGAGTTGAAAGACAGAGACGACAGTACAGCCCCCACTACAGTGTCTGCATAGAATGAGGTTTCCAGTACTGAGAGGATGACCTGGCTCACAGCTAATCCCCGAAGACTCAGGTTTAGCTATAGGGAGCTCT